CTTATAGAATATGTTTTAAATAAAATATTATATATATAAATTATACCCCATATCATTAATAATTTTTAATTTTATTTGAAAATTTGTAAATACTTTTCAATTTTCCAGGCAAATTTGCCTGGAATACAGTTTAAAGGATATATGTACATACATATGTTTATACTAAAAATATGTTGCTAGTTTTATTATAATTAAAAAATTCTTGGATTATCTATGTTTCTATAATTAGATAATGCATTCTTAAAAGGTTACTAATTATATGCTAAACTTTATAGTAAAAATAAACATACAGTATATTGTGAAAATTATGTTCAAGGTTATGACTTAACTATAACATTTACAGTTTTCTACTTAATAATATCAAACTCAATTATCTATTTATGATTTTAAAAAATCAATTTTTTTATATTATGAGTAATATATCTTTGATATTATTAATTAATATATAGATAACACTAATAATATGCATTAAAACTGCATGCTGTATATCAAAAGAATAATATAGTAAAACCTCTATAAGTGTATACTCTTGGAATAACATACACTTAGAAATCAATATAAGAAAAAGTGCATTTATAGGGAGCATATGACATTTGGGTCAGAACTTGAGCATGTATTAGAGAATGTGCACTTATTGAGATTTTACTATAATATGTTTTGCAATAGTACTAATAATAGAATAACTAATATATTGAGTAAGTTCTATAACAATACTCACAACAGAAATTAAGATAATTTCAATGAAACTAACTCACCTTTACTTATTGTGGTTATTAAAATTGTAAGTAAGTTTTTAATGGGATTTTTTAGTCATTCATGATAGAAATTACATTTATTTCAATACAAACTAATTTACATAAATCATATGGGCTGTGATCTGAGAAAAGGGCCAAAATTGACAAATTTTTCAAAAGATATTTTTTTATATAAATTAATTTAGAATAAAATTAGAATTATTTTTCACTTAAGACACAAAAGCAGTTGTATTAATAAAATTTTGCAGTATAGCTCTTTAAAGTTTGCTTTTTCTTATAATTTATTATAAGATTTACAATATAAAAATTGATTTTCTGAAGATCTTTTTTTTTGTCAATTTCGGCCCTTTTCTCAGATCACAGCCCATATATTGTAAGTCACCAGAATAATAAGTTTTGTAACAGAAAAATTTACAGTAAATCATAAAAATACAACAATTCTAGTGCAAACAGTGTTGGCTTGACTAGCCCAGTTTGACCATTGGACCAGACCAATTTGACTAATTAACCAATTTGCCTAGTCTGGTTAAAGAATCTGAACTGATCAAATTGGTCAAACAGTATATTTAAATATAATTTATATATTATGTTTATATAATTGATTTGACTAATTTGACCAGACCAATTTGACTAGCAAATTTTTGGTCAACCAATAATTTTCCCAATACAGGTTTTTCAACCTATTTCGTTTATTAACCAATCAAATTCATCTAAATACCAATCAAATTTGTATTTCAATCAAAATATACTAATATTGAAACACAAATTTAATTGGTATTTAGACGAATTTGATTGGTTAAAAACGAAATAGGTCGAAAAAACCTGCAACAATATTGAATAATTAAATAAAATTAAAATTAATTAAGCAAAAAAAATTGCAACATGTCAGCTACTTAATTGTAATATAAAAGATTGAAATAATAAAATTTTACACATAACCTGAAGTGTATAAAAATCTCTATGAATAACATTACAAAATAACAAATAATGTGTAAAGCAACATCAAACAATTTCTCATCATTATTAATACAAAGCTTTACCTGTTTTGCTATAAATTAAAATATGAAATTGATAAAAATTTAAGAATTTTACTACAAATGATATAGCATACTCAGTTCTAACCCCCTTTAAACAACTCAAGCGCCTAGTTACTGATGCAATATATAGTCGACTCTCTCTAAGTGCAGCTCGCCAGGACCTATAAAATCTTCTTAAGTAAAAAAAAAAAATTATGCATTTAGAAAGAATCTGCACTTAGAGAATATAGGTTCATTATAATTTTATATAGCTTGGGACCAAAAAAAAACCTGCATTTAGAGAGAATTTAATATGACCTGCATTTAGGGAGTGTAGTTCAAATCAATTCACAATATATATACAGTAAATTAGCTAACTCTCACTACCGTATTATTTTTTTTTAAAAATAGTTTATTATGGAACAGTCACCTCTCTAGAGATGTGCGAATGCACGTTTTTTTGGCCTTACACCATATAATGCAACATTATGTTGCATAATACATTATAGCAATCCTGTATAGTATACAATGACCTCTCAAACTGATTTCCACGGCGAATAGATTTTTGTATCATTATTGAGAGGTTATCAGATTTGAAAACACAATAAACCTTTAAATTTATATAGCTTGATGTGTTTATAAAATAATCCTGCCAGTGAAATAATGTATCTATAAAGTGACTGTTGGTGAAATGATATAGATCAAAAATAACATAATAACTTCTATGTAAATTTTAAGCAACTTGCACCGCATACTGTAGCTAGGTTTGTTAGTGCGGTGGCGTCGCCACTTATGCAATGCTTTAAATTTATATGATAATTTAATGGTGCAACAGTGGTGCACCACTTGCACAATACATATGGCACATCTTAACCTTCAACTCGCTATAATTAACGTGATTTGCATGTTTTTACTGTACTTTTCAAATTATGCATCAGCAATTTCATCCACACAGGAATCTGTGAATTGGGAATCTATTAAATTACGGTTATGATTTGCTAAAATTATAGTAGCTGATTAATGTATTGTCGTGCAAGTCAGTAACGGAAGTACGATCTCAGACTTACATATCAGATATGAAATGAGTTGAACATTGATGTTCTTTAATTAAAGGCATTTTCGAACGCCTTAATAAATGAGTTGAAATATATTGATAATTATTAGGAACATTTTAACCGACCAAACAAGCTTATCATGAAATAAAAAATAAAGTACGGGACAGGTTTATTACGTCAAAGAAAATTTAATATTGGAAAATGACTCGTGAGTTTATTATTCCAAAACTTCTTATTTCAAGCTTTCCTTTTTTTTGAATAGAGTTGTTTTTGCGACACACCTGATGAAAACTTTTGCTAGTATAAAATTCTTAGTACTTCAAATTTGATTTTTTTTAATGCAATTAGTAATATCTGTGTACGTATAATAAGTTACTAAATATATATATATTAAAAACAGCAAAAAAATATGTTCATTCCAATAATTAGAATTATTCATTATTCGATGATTATCAATAAAGAACCATGTTCCAGATGGTCAATGAATTTTATCTGTGCTTTCATAACCATCAAGTACACGGAGCTGGAATAACTTGTAATTAATAGTAGACCAATAGTTTTTTTATTATTGTTATTTTTTTAAAAACTAATTTACCATATTCTTATATAATTATTTTTTCAAATTGAATACATTAAGAAAAAAAAATTGATATATTATTATAAGAATTTACAGATATTAAAATACCTTTCAATCTTCAAAGAACCAATATTTAATATCTTTGTTATCTACAATTTTTTTTTCTTTATCATCTATAACTTCTTTTTCATTTCCCCAAATAAATTCACAATCTTCAACTAACCAAGATTCAAATCCACTCTTCTTTAAGGTTTCAATTTTAGAATATGGTTTTAATTTCATTTTATCTGATGTTTCTTTCCAAGATTTTGTAATATTTGGATCATCATAAAAACAGATATACTTTACTCTTATTTTATCCTTAAACTTGGAATCCAAATCATTAAATTCTAATGATTTTTCAAGTAGAGCGAAGTCATAAATTAGATCAAGTTGAAAACGATATACACCACGTTTACTATCTTTGACTGCATCAGAAAAAGCATCACTTATTTTTAAAGAATTGGGAAATCAGTAAAAAATATTGTTAATAATAAAGAACAAGATTAAGTTCATACCTCATAAATGAAATTATTACATTTTGTAATATTATCACAAACATAAAACTACCAACTACACTAATTACAGTAAGTGGCCAAAAACTCCAAATATCAAAAGAAATTGAAGACCAATCATATACTGCAAGTATAGAATCAAGAATATTTGAAAATGGATTATATGTTGATGAAGATTCATATAACCCAATATAAGAGGGAAAACCTAGAAGAATAAATCTAAATTAGATATAAATAAGATGATTAATGTTTATTTTTAAAATTTTAAAAGTTGGTAAAATTATCATGGGTAAATAACAAACTTACAATCCATGTCCCTGGTAACGTGTATAGTAATTAAAATGGAAATATCAGATATTATATTAAATATAAATATAAATAATAATTAAAAATATTAATACTATATAACTTAAAGATAAAAGTTATTACCATTGCAATAATAACTAGAATAAAAAACAATAAAAATTCTCGTATTGAAATAATAATATTTAAAAGTATATTAAGGTTATGCGCAAAACCTAGATTATGTATAATAATGTAAATGTAAGTCTAGATAATTATTTATTGAGGTGAAAGGTGAATTATTAGCAATACTATACCTTCAAGTATACGTAATAATAAAATCTGACAAAGTACATAAAATGAATACATGTAATTTAGAAAAAAAGACTTCGTAATTAATTATACAGAATTGGATAAGTATATACTTACAAATTCGTACCAAAGTACCAAAATACTTAAGAATATAATGAATGTCAAGACTTGATTGCTTTCAGCATTTTTAAAACCATCACCAAATGAATAATCACGAATTAAAATATAACTAAGAATAAATATCGGTATAATAAGTGATAAAAGATCTACAAGGTTAAAAAGATCTAAATATTGCATTCTGACGAAATTGTTTAATTTCAATAACAATATGATAATATGATAAATAATAAAATAATGCAACAGTTACAATAAAAAAAATACGTTGAAATACATCAGCTATCTCAATATGGGCAATATATGCCCAAGAAATAATTGAATAGGCTAAAAAGTACAAGGAAAATATATACAAAGTTCTAGGCCAATAGAATTTAGAAGAATACCACACCCAATTTATAACGGCACCTATTGATGGATTTTCATATAAAATATCGCGTTCACCTTTTATTACGAGCTTAATAAATGGACTGTAATCCTCCTCTTTAAGTGTTGAATATTGACCAGGAGAAATTAATATCTTTAGAAAATCTGTAAGTTTTCTTTCTTTTATATCCAATATTCTTTTGTTCGTTGTAAAATCTGCTAAAGGTACCATTCGAATATCAACAATTTTATTATAACTGTAGCAAATTTAAAATGAATTAATTATAGTAGAATTCACCAACTTTTTAAACACAAATATTTTTCATACTCAATCTCCCGTAGATCCAACTCGGAATCTTGTGGAACTAATTGCGTTATTGGTATAAAAACTTTTAATAAGCCATTTGACTTTGGAATAATTTCAAGAAATTCGAAAGATAATAAATCCATTTGTTTGTTACAAAAGCAGGGATTATAAAATAATTTTTGAGCATAATAATATGAATAAGATTCTAACATAAAGGGTATATTAAATAATTATATGTTAATATGTTAAATTTATAACAACCCAAATTCAAATCCATTTTATTTCTCACAAATATTATCACCTTTTTCATTCTTCTTATCTTCATTACTCTTATATAATTCCGGTATAATGTCTACAACTGTATTCATCCATCCAATATTATGAACTGCTTTATTAGAATAATATTCTAATAAGCACGCTAGCATAGTTTGATCTTTGGATAGTATATAAAGTGTTTATACTTAATGTGTACAGGCATTTACAAGGGGTCTGTATTATTTCACCGACAATCACTTCATAGACACTACATTTCGCCAACAATTATTCACCGTCAAGTTCATTTTACCGACAGTCTTTCTCACCGACAAGCTTTTTTTTTATAAACTTTAACACTAACCCTAATGTTATTGTCCAGAACTACTCTGTCTGTAAAATGAGCTTCGGTGAAATGAACTGTCGGTGAAATGAACTTGTTGGTAAATAATTGTCAGTTAAATGTGGTGTCTATTAAGTGTCTGTTGGTGAGTTGATCGGATCCCATTTACAAGCAGGTAACATAATTTTAATGATACGAACCCGAAAGAGCAGTACGAATAGTATTTATTCCACCTGACCAAGATGAATATTGCGGTATATGAATCGATTCCCCAAATGATAAAACGTCATTTACAAGTTCATAGTCTCCAATTTCAATAAGAATATTCAACAAATCAAACCGAATATCTAATAATCGCCACACAGTTGGATACAATCTAATAAATCTCAAGATTATGTTTCGTGTTTGGTCAATCACATTATATAGTTTTTGTTCAGTATCGTTATCATAAAACTGTTCAAATTTTTTATAAACATACAAATATTTTAGTGCATAGCAAGCATATTTTACTGAATTTATAACGTCATCTTTGTCTTCTATTTTAATTTGATAATCATTTCCTTCAACTTGAATACTAAGTTTGAATTTTCCGATGCAATACTTGATACTATTTACTTCTATTTTTGTTCTCATTTCAAATAAAGTTAAGAGTAACATGTCTGACGTTTGGGGAAATAAGTGATATAAAGGTGTGCAAATTAATTCAAGAATTCTTTTTTTAGCACCTTTTTTTGTTCCTTTATTGTACCAAACTTGAATTGTATGGTATCCAATTGAAAGTATTTTTTCTTTTTTTTCATCAAGATAAAACGAATATAGTGGAGCCTTTAAATTATCGTTAAGTGACCAAGGTTCAAGCATATAATTATCTTCATCTAATTCTGATTCTTTATCATGAAGATCTCGGATATTTTTATCTAGACCTTGTTTCGAGAAATAATCTTTTGACAGTTCCTTCCAATCTTGTTTATCACTTTTCTTTAAATATTTCAAATGTTTGTCTACAATTAAATCATCATAAAAAATCGGGTTGCCACTCTTATTAAAGACTATGAATGAATTTAATCGGTCCATTTCCCAAAGCGATTTAAAATCAGAAAGAAGTTCCATTTTAAATCCTGGATCTTTTAATTTAATAGAATCTCGTAATGAGCCGAAAATATTCCAGATAGACCATTTATTTTCCGAAGAATATACAAGTAACATCTCGTCATTGTGAAAAAAATCAATAACTCTAACACTATTAAATTCTGAATCTGTAATAACAAGCTCTGCTATTTCAAGACTGCATTCGATTGAATATATTTTGATTACTCTATTAGGTTCATATTCATATGCTAATAATTTGCCATTGTCTGATACTGCGAAACATCTAGGAAAATCTATCATAACTGATTTGCAATAAATTGGTCTTATAAAGGTATTTACCAATTGGTTTGTTTTTAAATCGTAAAGTTCTATGTATTTGATGTCTTCTTTCATAGTATCAACCAAAAAATAATGCTTATTTATGCTTATGTTGATATATATGAATATTTGACTGATATCAAACAAGTTTAAATTATTTTTGATGGCGTTGTATATTCTTTTTGGGTATTTTAGCTTTTGTACATTATTAATAAATTTGTTCTTCATTTGATACTTATAGATTCCTGATAGTGTTAAGAGAATAAGTAAGTGTTCATCATCCTTTTTAGAAAACAATTTAACTATTCCGCCATATTTATTTGGTAATTTCTTATCATCAATATAATCAATTGAATAATCATTATTACTAATATTTATAATGAAAACGAAAGTAAATCCATTATTATGAATTTCCGTTGGGTGTATTTCCTTATAATTTGGCACGTCTTTAGTACTGACACAAGATATTGCTAATAATCTAAATTCTGAAGAACTAGCTGATTTATCTGACACAGCGACGATCCACCTAAATATGTTTTCATATTCATCCTTATTCATATTTAGTTGTTTATCAGTAAATTTAAATGCGGTAGGAATGCTGGAAAGTTTCCTGTATGATAATTCCTGGTCATCTTTTAGCTCTGAATCACATTCTGATTTTAAGCCATCTTTTTGTTCCGAGTTGTTTTCTAATGTTAAGCTATCTTTATTATTCGAATTTAGAATATGATACATATGAAATTCGAATTCTAAATCATCTGAAAGATTTTAAAACGTTTATTAATAGTGCAAATCAATTAATTATATAACTATTTCACAAAACATTTACCAAGATTTTTTATTACTAATTCAACTAAAAAATCGCCTTCTGGACTAATTCCAAAATACTTTGTAGGTTCCACTTCCTTTTCTTCAGGTTTGACTTCAACAATATGTTCTTCACTTTTACTGGATGATTCTGCCATAATGTAATTTTTTTATTATTATTATTTTATGAGTTGAATAATGTTGAAAAAAAAATTATTGCATTTAAAATACCTTACGTGGCTTAAGATTCTGAATAAATTTATTTACTATGGCTCAAGAAATAAATATTTTTGTTTATTTTATTATAGTAGTAGTGGCTTGAACTCATGTTTGTTAATATTTATTTTGTTAGGGTTGCCAGTAGACTAGGTTCGGAAAGTACAGTTCTTGTGCGTGCCCTATACGTCAGGTCTATGGACAGTGCTTATCTATTGTGGGCAATTATATACGAAATTATGAAACCCCATAAAGACGAAAGTTCAGTGAGAAAGTCGAAACTCCCTTAAGATGATGAATTTCAGTAAAAGATTAATTTATAAGATAATGATAAAGGTTCCATTAAAATAATGTACCGTATACTTCCGAAATTAAGCACCCTCGGATAAATTTTCATAACCAAAAATTCTCGTGATCTAATAATCGGATCTACGTAATTTTGGCACAGCTTGCCAATACGATTCGAATGGTACACTGGCGATAAGGTTGTTAAACCATAACTGACAACGTAATTTACATGTAAGTTACACTGTAACTTACTGTAACTTACCTGGCCTATATGTAAGTTACAAAACAGCTTTAAAGCTAGCCGAATCACATGATAATTTTACAAGCATTAATATCAACTGTAATGGTGATACATGACGCTAGAGATGCAAACCGTTTGCCGATCACGGCCCAAATTAACCGTAATGCGGGCCGTGATCGACAAACGATTCACATCTCTACATGACGCAAACATATGTCGATCAACTTACATAACTTACAAGTAATTTACGTAAGTTACAATGTAACTTACATTGGTAAAATACACGTAACTTACATGTAAGTTAACAACCCTAACTGGCGATCATAAATAATAACCGATTGACGTGTCACAAAATTAACGGTCAAATGCAATCTACTAGATCATCTTCCTGATAAAATCATCAATTTCATATGATTTTCGATAAAAAAAAAAAGTTCTTTCTATTCACACTCTCATAAACAATTAGAAAGTCACTATAACATTTATGAGCCAAAATGTTCGTGAGTATTTAATACATATTTATAATCGTATAGAATTGAGGTTTCAACTTTCATCTACGTTAACCGCTTGACAATTACGATTTTATTATAATAATAATAATACTGTAATAAGGTTACAGTTTAATCTGACGTTCATTTTTTTTAAAATAACATTCATCAAAGCTATAATACTGACAAACTGACAACTCTGATGACACATTTTCCCGAAATGCCATTTAATTGATAAGAAATTTTCTCGATAAGTCATTTGCATTTTTTTAAAATATATATTAATGAAGAAAGAACTTTCGGAAAAGACTGTTAGAAATATATCTTGTTAGAAAATAAAGTTGCCAGTATTATGGAGTCAGAGAAATGATATTTCGGGAAATTGAGCAACAACGATATAATAATATATTGTAGTTCACTTTCCCGAAATACTATTTCTCTGATCTATAATTCCATATACACTTTTCTTGACAAGCATATTTTGACAGTCTTTTTACTGATAGAATTTTATCAATGCTTTTTTACTGATAGACCAATTCAAGGAAATCTAATGCTCCCAATTTTATTTACAACTGTTCTCATAAATTTTGGGACAACCTAAAATTTGTCGTTTCCCGAAATCTATTTGTTTCGCCCTAAAGGTCACCTAACTCTTCGGAATAACGTCATTGTCTTCAGAACTTCGGTCCTGAGATAGCAATGTATTTTCCAGTGAGTTAGATGATTCATAGAATTAAACCAAGAGAATTCGTGAAATGAGCAAATTTTAGGTTATCCCAGAATTTATGAGAACAGCTGTAAGGCGCCAAATTTAATGTTTACTAATACCCGTGGCTTTATTATAATTCTGGATGGTGTGACGAATGAATTTTAGTTTACTTTATTTTTTATTTTATTTTTGTTATTTTATTTCATTTATTTTATTATTATTCCAGTTTTTATTTAGCTTAGTTATTTTCTTGTATATAGATTTATTTACCAATTCCATTTTGATAACAATACCCACATAGTATAGTCACGATGGGAATATTCAATTAACTATACTAAATAGGAAATTGATAGTGGCTTGGTGGCTTTGCCCATGAAAACGCGTGAACGCTCTAAATGCGCTTACACAAATTTGTAGATCCTGCGCCAAGAGCGTGGACGCTTAGATTCAAGCGTATACGTTTGTAAAAGAGTGTATACGTTCAGTAAAGAATGTATTCGCCCAAAATAGAACGATAACGCTCTAAGGCAATTAGATGTATATAAGAAATAAAATTTTAATAAAGTTGGAGAAGTTCCACCTTCACTTTTAATGATTGAAAGTAATAAAGTAAATACTTATCCCATTGAAATTTTGATTTGTAACTTTAATAAAACCCTGTGAGACTCAATTCAACGGACCGAATTGACTTTAACTTCACATTGTTCTATTAAGACTCGGAATTTTGTGTAATGAACCTCTTTACATTTTGGAACTTAGTCATGTGATTCTCATCTGGAAATTCTTTCGTCCTAAGAAAAGATTAATTTGAAGACATGTAAAAGTAACTGCCCACCTCCCTTGGCATCACCAGCATCAGCTGATTTTATAGATAGCTGAAAGAAGATATAATTTATCTTTAAAGTGTCCATATATCAATTTTGTATCATAAATCGCTTTAGATATCAATTTCCATTGATATTATCCCTATGATCACAAATATAGTCATTCTCGATTGATCATTCTCAAAGTTCTGTTGTTGCCATCATTATCAATCAATCATATCCTTTCCACTCGCTCTTAGAAATATCATTCCCCATTGATATCATTTCTAAATTATTTTAATTCATACTTCTTTCCTTCTTTTATGTATGCATTTTAGTTATTATCAGTGCTTAAATCATTAAGTTTATTTTATTGTATAGTTTGATTAGTTTAAGTCAGATTTATAGCTTTTGTTTATTTATATAAACCCCAATCCCGTAATCGGTTGGAGTTCAAATTGGCACTATTTGTCTATAACCGCCTAGCTCTTCCAAACACAACCGTTACATTTGGTGCCGATTATGTATAATTTACATAAACACCCCACTCTAATTAAATAAACGAATTAGTTTGAAACTTTAAAAGACCTTAATATTAAGAATTTATTTAATACTTATCGATAAGAATGACTCAACGTCTGCCAGTAAACCCGGGCCGACCCGCTTTAGATAATCCGGCTCTACTGCTGCAGCAGCCGAACCCAGTTCAGCCTCCTAACCTGCCGAAACACCCCAACCACCTCAACAGCCGCAGCTACCCAACAGCCAAATCTTGTTGATAATTTAGCCATGCAAATTGGATTGTTAATCCAACAAATGCAAGCTGCACTAGCTCCACAAATTAATTACAACCCACCCAACCGGAAATTGAGTCTAGTTCCATATCCCGATTTTTTAGGAGGAGACCAGGATCCCATGATCTGGTTGGATGAAGTTGAAAAGGCATTTGCTGCCAATTTAGTGCACAATGACCGCTGCATCCCGGTAATCGTTCCTTATTTAAAGGGTGCTGCTGCAACATAGTGAGTCACTACCCAATGACCACCTAATCCCATCAACATGTGGAATGATCCGGCTCAACCAAATACAAGTTTCCGACCCCACTTTATTCTTCAATTCTGTACTCCGGCCTTGGAAGGTGAATGGTTTGCCCAATTGGCTACCCGAAAACAACAACTCAATGAGGATGTAGATGCTTTTTACACCGCCATGCAAGAGTTATTATGTCGAGTAGAGACCAGAGCTCAACCATATCCTGAAACAGCGAAAGCAAAGCTTTTTCTAAACAGGTTAAGGCTCGATATTGTATTGGCCGTTGCCCCATTCACTCCTAACACTCTACAAGCAGCCTACGAACACGCTAAAGCATACGAAGGCGCTTGTAAACAAAATTTTCTATATTTACTGGCCCCTATTAGTACTCTATATTCTACTCACATATCTTTTAGCACCCCAGTTGGTTTTTCTTCTCCCTCTTCGACCTCTGAAGCTGCTATAGACAAATTAACAGACACAGTTACTAGAATGTTAACCCAACTTCAAGAGCGACGTGCACCTACCTCAGTAAATTATAATAGGATAGTCTGTTATAAATGTGGAAAGGCTAGACATATAGTCATAATTGTCATTCACTTACCGTACCTAACCCTCCACCTAATACACCCCAAAATTATGCTCCATTAAATCAAATGTATAACCCCGGACAAAATTCGGTTCCAGTCACATATCTACATGTTAATCAAAATTTCCAAAATACTCCTTTGCCTGGTAGTTCTAGTTCTATCCCAATAATAGTGTTAATAATAATGTTAATTCACATTTGAGTAATGCCCTGGAAATACAGCCCCAAGAAGCTTTACAAGCTTTGCTAGCCATGGCGGCTAGCTTAAATTCTCTTCTGACCCAAAATAATTCGGATAAACTAATAATCAAACAACCTTCCTTAATCTATTAGAAGAAGACATACCCTTTTTAACTGTAAAGTCCTAGCTTTCAAAGTGTCTTCGGGAAGAAGTTGGTGATCTAGAGTCAGGTGTAGAAGCAACATTAGATTCGCTACTAGAAAAAGAAAGGGAAGAAGATAAAGATGAAGAAAAATAAAGAAAAATTAAATAAAGAAAAAGATAATAAAGAAAAGAATACAGGTAGTCTTTCTAAGATTCCATTGGTAAAGCCTAAACATTTTTTAATAATAAGGAGAAAGGTCTCTGAAGATGAAATGCCACAAATTTCATCTTTGGTCTCACCATATTCGATTATTACCGATCTACGTGATAAACCGGCCAACATTACAATTGGGCAACTTCTTCGTGTTATTCCTACCATGAGAACCAAATTAGTTCGAAGTTTGCATAAGAAAAAGACGACCCGAAAAGAAAAGTAAGAGCTAATATTAGTATAGCTTCTAATATCA